CCGGGGGCCCCATGAGTTGTCAGTCCACCCCTGATCCCAACAGACTAATGCGCCGTTTGGTGCTGAAAATGCAGCCATGACGAACTTTTGGGCAGTTGGGTGTTGGGCCGCCCATTCCATGAGCTCATCTATAGCAGTGGTCTCCAAACTGTAGCCCGGGGGCAGATGTGGCCCTTTGCTTGCTTTCATCTGGCTCTTGGGACACTATTTTATGCACTGACACCCCCCCCCCCCTTTATCTTACTCGTCCTGTGTGAACGAGGGCAAAAACGAATGTTGTTGGGCTATTTTCTCCTCGGCTCGTGTTCCTCAGAATGGGGTGAATCTGGAAAATACTGCGTTATGGCCACTAGATGGAGCTGGTGATCATGGGAAATACATACTTATTTACTGTGACCATCATCTCCACCTAGTGGCCATAATGTATATTCGCACCATTCCCCCCCCCCCCCCCCCCCCCCGATTCACCACATTCTCTCCTACAATTGGACACTTAAAGTGGAGCTCCGGTCAAATTTAAAAAAAAAAACAAAATTGTAGCTGCTGACTTTAAAAAAAAAAAAACAAAAAAAAAAACCACCATCCACTTACTCTGTCCCTCGATCCCACGGTGTCCTCCCCACAGCCGGGTTCGCCGGCTTTCCTTGCTCCCCGGTGCCGGCATCTTCAGTGGGGGACGAAGTCTTAAAGCGGAACTTCTCCTTCTGGGTGGAGCTCCGCTTTAATATTCATCCTGTGAAACCGCACATACCTTCGTTCTGTGTGAACGAGGGGAAAAATGAATGTGGATTAGGCTGTGTTCTCTTCGGTTTGGGTGTTATTCCTCAGAATGAGGTGAATCTGGAAAATACCGCGTTATGGCCACTAGATGGAGCTGGTGATCATGGGAAGTACATGTTTATTTACTGTGACCATCATCTCCACCTAGTGGCCATGATGTATATTCGCACCATTTTTTTCCCCGATTCACCACATTCTCTCCTACAATTGGACACTTAAAGTGGAGCTCCGGTCAAATTTAAAAACAAAACAAAACTGTAGCTGCTGACTTAAAAAAAAAAAAAAAAAAAAAAAAAAAAAACACCATCCACTTACTCTGTCCCTCGATCCCGCGGTGTCCTCCCCACAGCCGGTTTGCCGTCCTTCCTTGCTCCCCGGTGCCGGCATCTTCAGTGGGGGACGAAGTCTTAAAACGCAACTTCCCTTTTTGGGTGGAGCTCCGCTTTAATATTCGTCCTCTGAAGCCGCACATACCTTCGTTCTGTGTGAACGAGGGGAAAAAAAACTCATGTGGAGTAGGCTGTGTTTTCTACGGCTCGGGTGTTATTCCTCAGAATGACGGGAATCTGGAAAATACCGCGTTATGGCCACTAGATGGAGCTGGTGATCATGGTAAATAAATATGTATTTGCTGTGGTTATCATCTCCACCTAGTGGCCATAATGCGTATTTGCGCCATTTTTTTTTTTCCCCCCAGATTCACAACATTCTTTCTTACAATTGGACACTTAATATTCGTCCTGTGAAACTACACATACATTAGTCCTGTGTGAACGAGGGCAAAATCGAATGTGGATTAGGCTGTTTTCTCTTCAGTTCGGGTGTTATTCCTCAGAATGTGAATCTGGAAAATACCGCGTTATGGCCACTAGATGGAGCTGGTGATCATGGGAAATACTTATTTATTGTGACCATCATCTCCACCTAGTGGCCATAATTCATATTCGCACCATTTTTTCCCCCAGATTCACAACATTCTGTCTTGGGATTGGACACTTAAAGTGGAGCTCCGGTCAAATTTAATCAAAGAAAGTCAACGGCTACAAAAACCCCATCCGTTCACCCTGTCCCTCGACCCCGCGGTGTCCTCCCCACAGCCGGCCTCTTCAGTGGGAGACGAAGTCTTAAAGCGGAACTTCCCCTTTTGGGTGGAGCTCCGCTTTAATATTCGTCCTCTGAAGCCACACATACATTCATTCTGCGTGAACGAGGGGAAACATGAATGTGGATTAGGCTGTGTTCTCTTTGGTTCGGGTGTTATTCCTCAGAATGAGGTGAATCTGGAAAATACCGCGGTATGGCCACTAGATGGAGCTGGTGATCATGGGAAATACAAACTTATTTGCTGTGGTCATCATCTCCACCTAGTGGCCATAATGCGTATTCACACCATATTTTTTTTTCCCCAGATTCACAACATTCTTTCTTAAGATTGGACACTTAATGTTCGTCTTGTGAAACCGCACATACATTCGTCCTGTGTGAACGAGGGCAAAAACGAATGTTGTTGGGCTATTTTCTCTAATGCTTGGGTGTTATTCCTCAGAATGAGGTGAATCTGGAAAATACCACGTTATGGCCACTAGATGGAGCTGGGGATCTATAGGAAATAAATACGTATTTACTGTGACCATCATCTCCACCTAGTGGCCATAATGTGTATTCGCACTATTTTTTCTCCCAGGTTCACAACATTCTCTCTTACAATTGGACACTTAATATTCGTCCTGTGAAACCGCAACACATACATTCGTTTTGTGTGAACGAGGGCAAAATCGATTGTTTAGGCTGCTTTCTCTTCGGTTCGGGTGTTATTCCTCAGAATGAGGTGAATCTGGAAAATACCAGTTATGGCCACTAGATGGAGCTGGTGATCATGGGAAATACATATTTTACTGCGGTAAACATCTCCACCTAGTGGCCATGATGCATATTTGCACCATTTTTTTCCCAGACTCACAACATTCTGTATGAAGGAAGAACATCCAACCTGGAGAGAAAACAGTCTGATCACATACATTGCATGTTCCCAGGATGAGAGGAATGCCGTGCGTATTGTGTACATGCGTGTGCTGGAAGTATGTACAGAGTTTATAGACAGATTCATGTAAGCAGCGCGTTGCGTTCGTTTCGTTTTGGAACGGGCCGCCATCACACCACAACGGACCTATTACCGGGTCCCAGCGCTGAGGCGCCAACCGCGTAATAAACCGCGTGCGTTACCACCTCGCGAGCGCGGATATATATGAGTCGCAGCTGTCCGGGGAAATCTGATTTTTGTTTTGTTTTTGTCATTGTTGTATTTGTTCCTTTCTGCCCCCAAAAAAACCTCTTCCCTTCGTATTCTGAGCCCCGGTCCACACAATGCACCGCATGTCATTCGAACCGAATTCCCGTGCAAATTACCTGTCATTTTTATGGTGCAAATCGCTTCGCATCCGCACCGAAAAGAAGGTGCAGGACCCTTTTTGTTTTTTTTTTTTTTTTTTTTTTTTTTTAGCCACACCAGAATGGCATCGCATGGGAGTTCTGACCCATGCCATGCGATTTCTGGCAGTCGCAATTTGCGATGTGTTTCAGGGGTGTCATTAATTTATCATTGACACCCGCACCAGATCGCATGAATGCGATGTGACTGCAGTGTGGTGCGGGAAACGTACAGGATTCATGCAGTGCGGTGTGGGAAATGTAAAAGATTCACGCAATGCAGTGCGGGAAACGTACAGGACTTGCGCAATGTGGTGCGGGAAAGGTACAGGATTTGCGCAATGCGGTGCAGGAAACGTACAGGATTCATTCAGTGCGGGAAACGTACAGAATTCGTTCAATGCGGTGTAGGAAACGCACGCGCGCAAATGCGGTGCAGGAAACGTACAGGATTCGCTCAATGTGGTGCGGGAAATGTAAAAGATTCACGCAATGCAGTGCGGGAAACGTACAGGACTTGCGCAATGTGGTGCGGGAAACGTACAGGATTCGCTCAATGTGGTGCGGGAAATGTAAAAGATTCACGCAATGCAGTGCGGGAAACGTACAGGACTTGCGCAATGTGGTGCGGGAAAGGTACAGGATTTGCGCAATGCGGTGCAGTGGATGCAGTGCGGGAAAGTACAGAATTCGTTCAATGCGGTTTTCGCGCAATGCGGTGCAGGAAACGTACAGGATTCATGCAGTGCGGGAAACGTACAGAATTCGTTCAATGCGGTGTGGGAAACGCACTGGATTCGCAGTATTTCCCGCAACGCATTGGTGTGAATTGAGCCTTTATAGACGGAAGATCTGAATACTTGTTTTTGGTTCTTTTCCTCAGAAAGCGTCGATAGTAAACGTCAGCAATGACTTCTTAGGACGTATTATGACCAGTCGTGCATTTCCCCAGTGAGAGGGTTCTCTAAGCCATCACAAAGATTTTTCAGCATGCTGGATAAACATTTGTGTTGACTTGTATGTCTGAGGATCCTCGGATACAGACCATTCTTAATTTCTTCCGCAGGGGTTGAACAGCCGCAGCAGCCTGCCCACCCCGCAGCTGCGCCGGAGCTCTGGAGCGTCAGGCCTGCCCTCTATGGAGCTGGCGGCCTCTCGGTGGGAGCGCAGTAATGGCAAGCGGTCCCATCAGGACTACAGCAACTCAAGGTGAGCAGATTCTACTTCTGGCTAAAACTATGAATAGAAACATCGTGAGAAGAAAAGAAACCGATTCTCCTGAAGTATCCAACCACATTTACACATACACCATATTGACCCAAGTATTGTCCCCGCCCCCCCTGTATATACACCATATTGCCCCAAGTATTGGGCCCCGGTCCCCCCACATGACCTGTAATGGCCCCCCATATCAGCCGTAGCAATATTGGTTGGCCCCGCCCTTTCCACGCACATGACCTATAATGGCCCCCCCAGTCTCAGTCCGTAGGGTTCAATATTGAGTTGGCCCCGCCCTTTCCACACACATGACCTTTAATGGCCCCCCAGTCCTAGTCCGTAGGGTTCAATATTGAGTTGGCCCCGCCCTTTCCACGCACATGACCTTTAATGGCCCCCCAGTCCTAGTCCGTTAGGGTCCAATATTGAGTTGGCCCCGCCCTTTGCAGCTATAACAGCTTCAACTCTTCTGGGAAGGCCCCCCACAAGGTTTAGGAGGGTGTCTATGCTTTACACCACGGCATCCGACGCTTTGCATTGCACTTGGTGATGGAAGGCTTGGATGCAGCTGCTTGGCCATGGAAACCCATTCCATGAAGCTCTCTACGCACTGTTGTTGGGCTCATCTGAAGGCCACACCAAGTTTGGAGGTCTTTAGCTATTGACTCTGCAGACAGTTGGTGACTTCTGCGCACTGTGCGCTTCAGCATGCGCTGACCCCGCCCTGTCATGTGACGTGGCCTACCACTTGGTGGCTGAGTGGCTGTTGTTCCCAGTTGCTTCCACTTTGTTATAATCCCACTAACAGTTGAGCGTGGAATATTTAGTAGCCAGGAAATGTCACGGATGGACTTATTGCCCAGGTGGCCACCTATCACGGGACCACGCTTGGAGTCACTGAGCTCCTGAGAGCGACCCATTCTTTCACCAATGTTTGTAGAAGCCGTCTGCATGCCTAGGGGCTTGATTGTATACACCTGTGTCCATGGAGGGGATTGGAACACCTGAATCACATGATATGGAGGGGATTGGAGCACCTGAATCACATGATATGGAGGGGATTGGAACACCTGAATCACATGATATGGAGGGGATTGGAACCTGACCTGAATCACATGATATGGAGGGGAATGGAACACCTGAATCACATGATTGGGAGGGGATTGGAGCACCTGAATCACATGATATGGAGGGGAATGGAACACCTGAATCACATGATTGGGAGGGGATTGGAGCACCTGAATCACATGATATGGAGGGGAATGGAACACCTGAATCACATGATTGGGAGGGGATTGGAGCACCTGAATCACATGATATGGAGGGGATTGGAACACTTGAATCACATGATTGGGAGGGCAGGGATAATACTTTGGACAATATAGTGTGTATTGTGCAGTATATACACAGAATGTGTGGTCCTTCTGAAGGTTGTCCAGCAGAGGGCGCCTGTGACTCCAAATTGTTTCATGCTGATAAAGCGTCTTATTCTGTGCGGAGTTCCGACTTTTACTGCTTTTGTTGGATATGAACTTCACGAAGCAGAGTTGACCAAACAGAATTTCTTTTCTTTTTTCTTTCTTTACTTGATAGAGCTTTATAAACCATTTATAATGATACAATTCTATTATCAGAAAACTGTGTCTGTGGTCATCTAATACGAGACATGTTCAGTCGGGTCCGAACTTTACATTTTACCCCCCCCCCCCCCCCCGGTACAAATCACTAGTAACACCTCATCTGGAATATGCAGTTCTGATAAGAGGCATGGAGGAGATCAGCTATGAGGGAAGATTAGAGGAACTGAATGTATTCTCTACTGAGAAGAGGGGACTAAGGGGGCATAATCTCCATGGGGGGGATATGATCTCCATGTATAATACATAAGGGGGATATGATCTCCATGTATAATACATAAGGGGGGATATGATCACCATGTATAATACATAAGGGGGGGTATGATCTCCATGTATAATACATAAGGGGGATATGATCTCCATGTATTATACATAAGGGGGGATATGATCTCCATGTATAATACATAAGGGGGGATATGATCTCCATGTATAATACATAAGGGGGGATATGATCTCCATGTATAATACATAAGGGGGGGGGATATGATCTCCATGTATAATACATAAGGGGGATATAATCTCCATGATCTCCATGTATAATACATAAGGGGGGATATGATCTCCATGTATAAATACATAAGGGGGGATATGATCTCCATGTATAATACATAAAGGGGGGGGATATATCTCCATGTATATCTCCATGTATAATACATAAGGGGGGATATGATCTCCATGTATAATACATAAGGGGGGATATGATCTCCATGTATAATACATAAGGGGGGGATATGATCTCCATGTATAATACATAAGGGGGGATATGATCTCCATGTATAATACATAAGGGGGGATATGATCTCCATGTATAATACATAAGGGGGGGATACTCCATGAAGGGGGGATATGATCTCCATGTATAATACATAAGGGGGGGATATGATCTCCATGTATAATACATAAGGGGGGATATGATCTCCATGTATAATACATAAGGGGGGATATGATCTCCATGTATAATACATAAGGGGGGGATATGATCTCCATGTATAAACATAAGGGGGGGGATATCTCCATAAGGGGGATATAAATCCATATGGGGGGATATGAATCTCCATGTATAATACATAAGGGGGGATATAATCTCCATGTATAATACATAAGGGGGGATATGATCTCCATGTATAATACATAAGGGGGATGATCTCCAAATAGTGATCTCCATGTATAATACATAAGGGGGGATATGATCTCCATGTATAAATACATAAGGGGGGATATGATCTCCATGTATAATACATAAGGGGGGATATGATCTCCATGTATAATACATAAGGAGGGGACATAGGGGGGGATATGATCTCCATGTATAATACATAAGGGGGGATATGATCTCCATGTATAATACATAAGGGGGGGGGGGTATGATCTCCGTGTATAATACATAAGGAAGGGTGGGGGTGTGGCAAGTATATGTAAGGGTGTAAAAGGGAATGGCGGGGGTGTGGCAAGAAAGAGCGGGGGTGTGACAGGTAAATGTGTGTGTAACAGGGAAAGGTAGGGGTGTGGCAGGGAAGGGTGGGGGTGTGACATGGAAGGGTGGGGGTGTGGCAGGGAAGGGTGGGGTTGTGACAGGTAAATGTAAGGGTATATCAGAGAAGGGTGGGGGAGGGCAGTTATGTTGCAGGGGTGTGATAGGGGAGGGCAGGTATGTAGCAAGGAAGGATGGTGGTGTAGCAGGTGAATGTAAGGGTGTGATAGGAAGAGCATGGAAGGGCAGAGAAGGGTGTGGTATGATGGGGAAGAGCATGGATATGGCAGAGAAGGGTGGAGGTATGATGGGGAAGGGTGAGGGTGTGGCAGAGAAGGGCGGAGGTATGACGGGGAAGGGTGAGTGACGGTGTGGCAGAGAAGGGCGGAGGTATGAAAGGTGGGGAAGGGTGAGGGTGGGGCAGAGAAGGGCGGGGTAATGGGGAAGGGTGAGGGGTAGTGAATGGGTATGACGGGGAAGGTTGAGGATGACGGGGAAGGGTGAGGTAAGGGGCAAGGGGGGGATGTCGGGAAGGGTGGAGGTATGACAGGGAAGGGTGCAGGTGTGGCAAGAAGGGGGAATGTAGCAGGGAAATGTAAAGGTATAAACAGGGCAGGTCAGAGGTGTGCCTGGGAAGGGCGGTGTAACAGGGACATGTGGGAGGTTTGCAAGAAATGGTGGGCAAGGCCTGGCATGGGGGGGGGGGGTTTTGCAAGAAATGGTGGGCATGGCCTGGCATGGGGGGGGGGGGGGGGGAGGGGTTGTAATGTGAATATTTTTATTGCTCTTGGTACTGGTTAGGGTTAGGTACTGAAATGACTTTTATATCCAGCGATGATTCCCTATTGTCGCCGTCCCTCTTCAGTGGTGCCGGGACGGAGGGATGGTGTGCCAGCAGCTTTCGCTTTCCAAGTGCAGTTCAGGCAGAATCGGCGGCGGAAGTGACTCCGATGGTGAATATTGATTGCCGCCATCAATCCCCCTTCTCACCGCGTTCTATTCTTATCCGTGTTATATTTTGTCTTTCTGAAATGGACTTAATGGGATCGTTAAATAATTGTATGAAGATCGATTCCCTCCAACGACGCCATAAAACGACTCCAGCAGAATAGAGAATCTTAGAAGAAATGCCAAGTGTGGCGTTGGTGGGTCACATGACCATCATAGAGACATCGGTCACATGACCATCATAGAGACATCGGTCACATGGTCTTTGCTGAAGAAAAGTCTCATTATTCAGCTGGAGCCTCTGATTGGACGGCTGTCCCTGAATGTCAGTCCCCCACGGCATCTCGGGCTGAGGTCACATGACCCATGCCTTGGCACTGGAGCCAGATAAACCATTCTACAGCAAAGCCGCGAAGAACCGTATGGGCGGCATAAATCGATGGACTTGGGACCGGGGCACAGATGACGGCCTAGCAGGGGGCCCCAGGTAGCGCCACGTTGCTTGAGGTTACTTCTAGAGCATCATGGGAGCCCCTTTGTGTGGAGAATATGGCTGTGAGAGTTCTGGGCAGAGCTGGGAAGGATTTTCTAGGCCTTCATACAGCTGGGTGTGTAGTTCTTATTGAGCTACTGAGCACTGTAAATGCAGGTAAGGAGAGCTTATTGTCAAAATGTATGGCAGGCTGAAATGTGGGGGCTGGACGCTTCACCATGTGGTACTTATGTTTAGGGCCATATATAGTCATCCCTGAACATATACCCCCCCCCCCCCCCAAATTTTACATCCCTGAACATACCCCCCTAAAACGTTACATCCCTGAACATACCCCCCCTAAAAACGTTACATCCCTGAACATACACCCCCCTAAAATGTTACATCCCTGAACATACACCCCCCCTAAAATGTTACATCCCTGAACATATACCCCCCCCAAATTTTACATCCCTGAACATATACCCTAAAACGTTACATCCCTGAACATACACCCCCCTAAAATGTTACATCCTTGAACATACACCTAACCCCCCTAAAATGTTACATCCTTGAACATACCCCCCCTAAAATGTTACATCCTTGAACATACACCCCCCTAAAATGTTACATCCTTGAACACACACCCCCCTAAAAGTTACATCCCTGAACATGCCCCCCTAAAAGTTACATCCCTGAACATATACCCCCCCTAAAATGTTACAACATCCTTGAACATATACCCCCCCTAAAATGTTTACATCCCTGAACATGCCCCCCTAAAACGTTACATCCCTGAACATATACCCCCCCTAAAATGTTACATCCTTGAACATACACCCCCCCTAAAATGTTACATCCCTGAACATGCCCCCCTAAAAAAACGTTACATCCTTGAACATACACCCCCCCAAAAATGTTACATCCCTGAACATGCCCCCCTAAAACGTTACATCCTTGAACATACCCCACCTAAAATGTTACTTCCTTTAACATACCACCCCCCTAAAATGGTTACATAACTTGAACATACATCCCCCTATAAATGTACACATCCCTGAACATATGAACCCCCCTAATAACGTTACGTTTCCGGACAACATAGATCCGCCCCAAAATGTTACGTCCCTGAACATATACGACCTTTCTCACCCCCCCACCAACCAAAAAATAAGTTACATCTCCGGACAATGTACAACCCCCTAAAAATGTTTACGTACCTGAACATATAGCCCCCCCCAAAACCTATATGTCACTGAACAGATACCCTCGCCGCCCTACGAAATGTTACAAACAACCCTGAACATATAATACGCCCCCAAAAACTTTATGCAGCTGAACATATACCACTGTCCAAAATGTTACACGTCCCTACACATATACCTGCCGCTAAAATGTTGCGCTCCCTGAACATATACCCCTCCCCCCCCAAAAAAAAAAACCGTTACGTCCCCTGAACATATACAACCCCCTAAATGTGATACCTTTTGGGGAAACAGTTTCCCCACCCCATCGGGGGTTTTATCACCTGTCATAACGGGGCCCAGGCTTTTGGCAGTGAGCTGGATGCCCCCCTCGGCCCCCCGGGGCACAAAAATCCCTGGGTTGTTAAAGCCCAAACCCGGGGAAAATTTTTCAATTTGTACCCAAATAAAATTAGGATAAAAATAGGTTTTTCATCGTCACACCATTTTTTTTTTGGTCTTCTAATACTTTTTTCTGCTGATGTTTTTCCCTTTCTGTCCGGCTGTATCATTTATCTGTAAATTTTTTTTTTTTGCCCCAAAGGGGATGGGAAACCAAAGGGGCCCT